TACCTTGCCCCGGAGGAACCATCCGGTTCGCCCCGAGGGTCGGCGATAAGAGGAAAAAACACAAGATGGCGTTGTCCAGCGTGTAGTGACCTGTCACTGGGAAATGTTCCCCGACGCTTACCTTGGAATAAGACTGCTGTCATCTTCTCCTCGGGGAGGAGAACTCACCGGACGACCGGAGGTCGACTGCCGGGCCAAGCATCCTTCACAAAGGTTGGTCATTTACACAATTTATCTTCTTTGTTCTTCTGACAGTGCTATATTAGCTCGCTGAAGAAAAAATGGGAGCCGATTTCCCGCTCTTAACGTAATTTATACGGACCGGGTGGGGCCCACACAGCAGGTGGGCGTGGACTAAATTTTTTCAGTGCTTATGCTCTGCATAACGGGATAAACCCATCAGCGACAGCCTTAAAGGGCGAAGCCTATATGAAATAGAACTGATTCTTCCCCCAACAGCTTACTCCAAAGTGGAACAAATCAGTTCTGCTTGTGATAAGATGGTCTCTTTGGTACGCCCCCTCCTCCATTGCCGGCCCTCTTCTTTGTTGACAATCTTGTCAAACTGGTTGAAAACAACAAAGTCCATGCTCAATAATTCAGGTATACAATCCAACATTTTTCAGTCAAGTCATCTGGACAGTTTCTTTTTTTTTTGTGCTGAAACATTTCGCCTTCGGTCCGGAAGGCTTCATCAGTCAAGGAAACGCACAACAAAACTGATTCTTGACCGTTTGGTGTAATTTGGACAGGCTCATGTGTTTGTTTTGGTGTGTTTTCCATTGGATGCCCTTCCTGACACAACTCTCACCATTTACCTGCACTTGGGACCAGCACAAGAGATACACTGGCTTGTGCTCCCTGGTACTGGTTTAAACATTTGGCAAGTTTATTTACTAATGTAGAGGGATATGGGGCTGGATATATATAGTTAATTATCAGTTATGAGTTAAGCTCATAAGATATGCACTTATTATGCAAATAACCTCGTTGTGTGGGCACCACCTCTCTTTGAGAGGAAAAATCAGTCTCTGTTTATCCCAAATCAATGTAAACTGAAACGTGAGTTCTTTTCTCGTGTTTAAACGGCATCAAATCAGTTAATACACACAGATAAAATAATCACAAATTCAGTTGATTTTATGTATTTTATTATAAAAATAAAAATCTGTGATGAATATGTGATTGAAAATTATGCATGACAAAAGTTAACTGAACATTTAATAGCTTTGCATCAATGGTCTAATTGATTATTCAAATTAGTGAAACTTAAAAGGCTGGTTTTGGACTGGTTCTGTTTGTAAAGGAGTTAAAAATTGTGTCTAAAGTGAGCGAAGTTTGTCTGACAAGTTGTGATGTAGGTTCACCAGAAAGGCATTGAAAAGTCTGTCTTTTACCAGGATGAGATGGTCAGGAATGGTTCCAACAGCTTCTAATGATACCAGCAAGGCCTGAGATGCTCCGATGACTGAGAGGTAGAAGTCTCCTCAAAGTTCACACGTCAACGGTTGGAGGGACGAAGGTCCGGCCACTGGCTCTGAAGTCAGCTGGGATTTCCCACTCTGTGGTGTGATGGTTGCCTGGTAGAAAGCTCTCAGGTTAATGCCTGGTTCTGGTTAAGATGGGTAACTTCTGTATCTTTTGTCCCGTCTCTGCTCAAAGTCGTCTCTCTGGAGTTTCCTCTTCAAGGCTCCAGTGAAGTCTTCGGAGCGTCTCTCCAAAGCGTGCGTTTTCTCCCAAAGTTTTCTTAGACCAAGCTTCAGTGAAGTGTGGTGTGAAAGAAAGTGAAGGTGTGAAGAAGTGAAACCTAACTGTGTTTCAGAGATGAAGGTCCACCTCTCGGAAGAGGTGGTACTAACTCTTTGCTTTGTTAAATAAAATCTAAAATCCCCTTTTCTCTGCCTTAAAAGTTTTCTTTTTAAAAGAGAAAACAAGACTAATGTATTATCTCAAAGAAAGATTACTTAAAACATACATTTTCATGAAGAAACATTCAGGTAGAACATATTTTGAAATGACATCTTTGACTTTACAACCATGCAACGTTTCACCAAAAGGTGTCGTTCATCTCCTGAACAGGAACGTCATTAAACAAAGGGTTCTTATGGTGTTATCTTCGTGGGAACGAGTTCTGGGAGGAATACTCCTTTTTTCATAAAGGTGAAATCAACGTAGCAAGTTCAGATGTTCCAAAAACTTTGAGGTCAGTTTAACAAAAACTCTCATTAAAACGATCTGTCCGTTTCATGAGAAATGAGTTCATATTGGCAGTAAGGTTAACACAGTGACAGTTTAAAAAAACCCATAAAAAAACATTAGTCTCAACTAAGAAGTTTGTGAGCCGAGTTGAAAATTTGTAAAACAAAGTCTGTTTGTTCCCAAGGGAATAGATGAATCTTATTTTAACAGTTTCAAACACAAAACACATGAATGATATTTGTTTGAGTTGAGGTGTTCTTTTTCTGAGGTGGTGTTCCCCTACACTACAAACTGAGAGGAAAAAATACACCTTTCATTATTTAAGTTAAACATTTTTCTTTATTTCATGGAAATACAACATTATTTCAAATCCTTTGCAGGACCACTGTTGTACATTTTATATTCTTTTAAACTTCAAAACATTGTCACTTGTACAACCATATCATAAACAAAGCCTCATGTCACAAATGGAGCCACTGATGACAATAAATTACATTTGCCATGCTAAAGTTTCAAAATCATACACCAACATCTTCATTTTTACTAGATTAACTTTTAAATGAACAAGAACCTGGAGCTGAATAAATATGATAAAAAGATTTTACAAAAAAGAAATGCTTTTTCTTTAAAAACAGAGCAGAAACGGCTGTTTGAGAAGAGTTACTCCTAAACAGTTCATTTTTATTTCATTTATATGGAGGAGGGTGGAGAATTTGCATAATTGATAATACCGCTAAATCTAAACCAAAAGTTTATCAACAGTAAATACTGACTATAAGAAAACCGCCCTATAATTAATATTGTTTTCTCCTTTCTTGTATGTGAGGAGTATTTTATAGATCTGCTCACCCACTCACACACAAAACAAGTCTTTATAGAGCCTAGAGGTATTTTTTTTTATCTTGTTACTTCCGTATTGTCCAAAAAACACATGTATTCAAATGAATATAACTATTCCAAAAAAAAATGTGTGCATGTACAGAATATAAAATATTTTTAACTGACAAAAGAATAAGGACAAAATGAAGTAATTGAGGTTTCTAGTCAATAGCACTGAGGCAAGGATGCCAAGAATGTGTAAACTAAAAATATTAATAATTAAAAACAAGAACAATTACAACACTCAACACTTCACTTTGAAAATTTACAGTGTTAAATGGTAGCAAACAAAAATTATTCCGAGGTAAACCCCTCCCCCCCCAAAAAAAAAAAAAAAAAAAAAACACGTCAGGCCTTCAGGTTAGTCAAAGTGAGTCATAAAAAGGCAATGTACCCCGTATTTCTGAACACAAGCCAGGCAGGAGGCAGGGCTCTCATGACGATGGAGCCAAGAGACTGAAACAAGCTGAGAAAGAAAAACACAGGCAGAGAAAGACCAAGGCCCTGTCTACACAGCTCCTAATATTTGTTTTAAATAATGTTATTTAAATTGTATTGGTTTGTTTATTACTGAATAATGTTTTACTTATTTGTATGTGACTGGGCCAATTTATAAAAAAATATTCCATCATTTTAACCAAAACGCAGACATTCTTAGGCCTTGTTCACACGAACACAGTTTTTCAAAAGTGATTTTCTTTTCCAAAATTATCCTTGTAAACACCCCCCGTTTCCAAAAAAATGTAAATCCACATGGAAGGACCAAACAAAATGACCCCAAAGCATGGTGGCAACTGTGTCAGGTCTGTGTGTGGCACTTTATTGCTGCCACAGAAATGCAAATGACTGAGTGAATAGAGAAATGTAAACAAAACAACAACAACAACAACAATACACTCTCAGGTCTTAGGTTAGATTAGAGTTTTGGTGATGGCCTCGTTGTTTTTAAAAGGTTGCCTTGAATCTGTCTACACCAAAATGCAAGAGTAACATTTCAAGATTTTTTCAATTCAAAACCCATTAAAAATACCAGTTTGAGGCTTCTACACTCAATTTCTACGTGGACTCAAGGCAAAAAAGATAAAAAAAATTGCATTTAACTGTTATTCCTATATAGATGATTTGCTTACCCTTTTCCAAAACAACATCTTAATTTTCTTTGATTCTATTTGCACTTTCCTCTCAGTTAATAACTTTTTCAGCACACCGTCAAAATTTAATGGCAGCAAGACCAGTAAAGTGGTTTCGAGGACACAAAGTGGTCTGCTAGGTCATCGTTTCTTTGTATTTGGAGTCTGAATACACCAGAAACGTTTTCAATTTGGGAAGCGTCAATGTGTTTTTCTCTGCCCAGCCTTTGTTTGCATGTGAACGAGAGGCGCAAACGAAGCAGAAATGTTTATAAAAATATTCGGAGTGATGTGTACAGGGCCCAGCGTCATACAGGTGTGTGTGGCTGAACTGTTAATCACTATGGCACACTTCTTTTGTAAATACATTTCAATCAGTTATATTTTGCAATAGTTTGCTTTGTATTAAAATTTTTATTCAACAGTTTTTATCAGTCTTGGTTGCAAATTCTACTTTTTTTTTCACTTTAACTTCCCCGTTCCAAGACAGAGGTTTATTTTCGGCGGTGTGTCAGTGGCCCGATGCTCTAGTGAGCAGCTGAAGAAGAAGCAGAGGGCATGCATGAATTAAAGTGACACATGAACTATAGACGAAAAAAAAAAGAGCATGAATAAACACTTCCACCTCTGGTCTGGTCCACTTTTCAGAAGAATCCAAAGACATTTTAAAAATAAAAGGAAAAGTTTGAGAAGTCTTGTTTTTGGATTGGAAACCTATACTGTACCTCTCAAAGCCCAGAAAGAGGCAGAAATCAGCATCACAGCCAAGGGGGAGGATGTGTGTGTATTTGAGTATGTGTGTGTTCACTGTTTGTCAAGGCTTTGTTTCAGCAGGTGGTCGCCAAAGATTGGTGTATAGGAGGCTGGAAACAGCGAACATGCTCCACGGTGGAACTGTCCGTCTCCACTGCCTTCATGTACTTATTAAGGATGGCAAATACCTCATTGTTGAGGATCTGGTACTTCCTGATACGGTCTGCCATCTTCTTCAAGGGCTGTCGAGGTAAATAAAAACAAAATGGAAACCTAGGAATCAATTGGCTTCAGAAAAGTATTACGAGAACACATCTACAAACGGAAGAAAAACACTCACCACATTTTTTATTATCTCGTCTTTGCCGTCCTGCCTTTGCACTTTGAGCAAGTGGTAGCAGAAGTCAAAGAGGTCAAAGCGACGCTGCTGTCCAAGTAGCACGATGATGGCACAGCCTGCCCAGTTCAGCCCATCTCCAAAACACTGCCTGCACAACACACACAAGACAAGTTCCTACTAAGACAGGCGAAAGGTGGGTAATACTGTTTTTATTACGTGTGTGTGTGTGTCTGTTTGTGTGTGTGTGTGTGTGTGTGTGTGTGTTTGTGTGTGTGTGTGTGCATTTAAGTGGTTAGATACACTGCTTGGCCAAAGAAAAAGTTGCCACCAAAAAAAGGTCACATACTAATATTCCATTGGACCACCTTTATCTTTGATTACATCATGCATTCACTGTGTCATTGTTTCAATAAACTTCTGCAATGTCACATGATCTATTTCCATCCAGTGTTGCATTAATTTTTCACCAAGATCTTTCACTGATGACTAGACACTAGGCATGATGGGTGCATCACTTCACCTGCCTCTCTTCTTACCCTGACATGCCCATCACTCTGGAACTGGGTAAATTGCTCCACAGTCCAATCTTTATGCTCCCTAGCAAATTGAAGCCTTTTTCCAGTTAGCCTCACTGATTAGTGGTTTTCTTAAGGCTACACAGCTGTTCAGTCCCAATCCCTTGAGTTCTCTTCACATTGTGCATGTGGAAATGCTCTTACTTTCACTATTAAACATAGCCCTGAGTGCTTCTGTTGTTTTTCTTCCATTTGATTTCACCAAACGTTTTAAGTGATCGCCGATCACGGTCATTCAGGATTTTTTTTCCGGACACATTTCTTCCTCGAAGACGATGGGTCCCCACTATCCTTCCAGTTTTTAATAATGTGTTGGACAGTTCTTAACCCAATTTTAGTAGTTTCTGCAATCTCCTTAGATGTTTTCTCTGCTTGATGCCAGTGATTAGACCCTTCTCTAACAGACTGACATCTTTTCCACGACCACGTGATGTGTCTTTCAACAAGAAATGAGAAGCAACTCATTGCACCAGTTGGGGTTAAATTTATTGCCAGATGAAAGATAATCGCCCGTGCAGTACCGTAATTTCCGACCTACAAGTCGCACCAGTCCATATTTGTCTAATAAAGTGGCAAAATCCATAAATATGTCACTTTGCTGTATATGTTGCATCTATTATGCGTCACCGCTGACAACCTAGAAATGTGGGCTGAACCCGGAAATGTGGCAAAATGTGTGCTGTGCCAAAAGGGCTGCCAAATGGCAGCCGCGGGAGCGTGCACGGGAGGACTTTAACAAGAATTTAACAAGATTAAAACTTAAAAACAATTATTTGTTTGTTCGAAATTATAGTAAATTTGTGTCTCAGTCTAATGTTTGCTTAATAAATGCACTTTGATGGTCAAATTAGCTGCATTTCGCTGAGGCGGTGCAGCTGGATTGATGGTCGGTCCAAGCAGCAAGCAGAAGGAAGGTGGGGAGACTGTGGCAGGCCGATTGAGTCACTAATAGCTGGTGAAGATTCTCAGTCATCCAGGACATGGTAAATTCAAAAAAGTTCAAGAAAAAAACAACAATAAAGTATAATAAATAAAGTCCAGTTGTTTTTGTATCGACTTTTTGTGACTTGGTGCTATATATTGGTAAATAAAGTGAATTGAATTGAATAGAGTCAACCCAGTTTAAGATGGCCGCCACAGCTAAGGGACTTTAGAAACACAAATTAGCTATAACTCATCAGTTTTCCAGACATTATGCTAAAATTAGGTGTGGAAGTAGCTATCCCCTACACATGTGCTGATAGTTTGTGCATAAGGTTTCTTTCAAGATTATTTTCCTAATGCTCATATCTCTAACATTTTTCAACATAAAATGATCTTAGTTTAAATTTTAGGCTCAACAGGTAGTGGGGGTGTATTCTTTTAAGGAAATAAGCCTTTAAGCCTTTTATTTTGCATTTTTAATCAGTCAATTGAACGACAGGATCAGTTTTTCACAAAAGCACCCGTGTAAACATTTTATTATTTTGTAGCTTTCCCCCATCAAAAAAAAACAACAAAAAAACTCCCAAACAATTATAAACAAAATCACAGGTCTCATCTTGAGGAAAAAAAAGTATCCTCATGTACGTTCTCTGGCCGTAACATCAGCTAATTTTTGCAGGGCTTTTTAGAAGCGTCAACCAGTGCAGAGTGAGAATTTGCCACCTAACGCTATAGCTTCAACATAGAGAGTTCACATAAATACCATAAATTGTAACATCAACATCTGCATCCTGCTTTAATCATCAGGAAAATAAATGGTGTGTTGATTTACAAGTGTTCAGTCCCCTCCAGGCAGCTGCAGGAGAACTCCACCTGCTTTAGGGACCGAGAGGCAGGGCAGCCGACCTTGGACCAGAAAGTCGTAGTTCGACTCCCAGACATTCCCACATGTTGTGGTGTCTCTGAGCAAGACACCCAATCCCTAATTGCTCCCCAGGTGTTTACATAGCTGCCCACTGCTCCACATGGGTGTTTCTGAGGTGTGGTGGGTTAAATGCAGAGAACTAAAGTCATCATTGTATGGGAACACACAATGATGACAATCTCAGACTTCCCCTTAGACACAATTAAAAAGGTTTGCTCGGAATCACTTCCTCCTAGATCAAACAAGTGTTTCACCATCTTTTGATTGTTGTTACTAATTCACATTGTTTTCTGGTATTTTGGAAATTATAGTTACATATTGCTTAAGAAAATAGAAAAAACTATATTTAAAGTTAAGGATATTATTTACTGGATCTATTTACACATGCAGCAATGTTCCTGTTGTTCCCCTCTAAGATCCAACTCTGAACAAACCTTTTCCCCACGTTAACCTAAATAAGGCCACAACTGGAAAAAGCTAAATTTAATAAAGTATAAACATGTTAACATATATTATAAAGTTTATACTAATATTAATTGTTCCATTACATCCTATCAGCTGGCCATCTGTTTCTGCCAGTACATCTTCACGTCTCCAGATATTTTTGAAACCATTTTTTTCTCCATTTATAAATCACCTGCACATTCTAATAAAAATTCTGAAACATTTATATTAATTGCATATCAAATTAAAAAGAAGAGCATTCCAAGTTTGGTTAAAGGTATTCCAAAAACAACTGTAGCTCGTTTAAAATGTTCTCTTAACTATTAATCATTTCAGTAAACAAAGAAGGTTCAATGGCAACAGAATCAGGACAAAGCGAGACAGAAGTACCCCCCCACACACACCAGTGTTGGTTTGGTCTCTAGAGTATAAAGATCCACCTGCAAGTAGAAACAGTAATATTTAGATCCCAGCTGTGTTTTTACTTACTCTGCAGTGAACTCATGTGTTCCTACAGGGATGCAGTACACAAACTGCATGGCGCTCCACAGGCGGTGGAACTCCATACACTCGTCCACGTGCATCACCCCATTGGTGGGCGGAGGTCCACGCCACACCCCGTCCTGCAGAAAGCTGCGGATGCGCGTTAGAATAACCTCGAACATGGAGAGGCCGCAGCACAGACGCTCTTTGGTCAGCAGGTCCCCCTCCCGGGCAATGGCTATTTGCTAATAAACAGAAATAGCCAGAGTTTATAAATACAGAGAAAACGAATGCTGTTTATGTAAAACTGCCTGTTAGCATCCCTGCAGACAGAAGCAGAACTCACTTGGGGGGTTCCCAACCTCTCGATTAGAGGCACAAGGTGTAGAGGGGCGTACTTTGCTTCCAGCCTCTTCATCCTCACCTCCAGACGCTCTCCCTCTGTGGAACACACAAGCACAGTTAAAAAAAACCTCTAAACAAATGTTCCCATTTTAAATCAGTAAAGATCGTCCTAAAGCTCTCAAAACTTCCAAACCGAGTGACGTCCGGTTCACCTTTGATGTAGACTCTGGGCAGAATGTTCTGGAAGGGGGCAGCATGAAGCAGGTCGCACACCTCCTCCTGAGACTACGAGTCAAGCACAGAGCAAATCCACTTGAACTACGCATCAAACTCCCCGTGCTTCACGGAGACCCTCACAAAAAGCATGCAGGCAGCCATGAGGTTCTTTTCAATGTGCTAAATCCCTTCTCTTTTTTTTTTTTTTGTGGCAAAGCTGTGATGATAGACTTAACAGGATTATAATTTTGTCACACTCAAATCTTCAAAATCTCATGAAGTCTGGTATAGAAGTGAACAAAAAAAAATCAAGTTTACAATCCTTTTCAAGATCTGAAAATATCACATGCATGTGAGCTATGTGAATTTACAATGAAAGCGATGTGCCAAAGTGGTTGTCATGGTGATCATTGGCAATGGCTATTGAATTAAATGTGGAAAAGCAGCATCTTGAAACCTCGACTGAGAAGAACAAAAGAGAACCATGCAATGATGAAAGCAAGGCCAACACGCATGGAGGAACTCCAGAGCTACACACAAACACCCTTTAGACAGTCAATGCAGCCACACAGGAGTGATGAAAGTAGAAAACGAAATAGTGTTAGGTACACAGGCTTTACATGCAGCCCAACTTAAAAGAGATTTCAGAGGCAGAATGACCAATCAGAAAAGTAGAACCACCTTCTCCATGGAAGACAAGGACGAGAAGATTCAGATTTTATAATGCCATTAGGCCTTTGTGGCCAAAATTCAAAGTGACATTGAATCTGAGCCCTTTTGCTTCCATGGATGATCGGAGATAAAAAAAATATATATAGCATGTGCCAGAAACAACACAAAAACAACAAACTCAGAAGCTCAACATGAGATAAAACCAGCTATTTGATCTCTATGTTATTTTGAACAAGACCTAAATCCTTACCACCTGTGGTAGTTGCCAGCGTGTAATAAAAAAAGAATAGGGTTGTAATTCAGAGAGGAAAACAGAACAGCGAAGATCAAATGTACCTTTTGGACAATTGGAGCGAGAGCCTGAGAGTTCTGGACCACAATATTTGATTTAGAGAGTGAGTCACCACCATAAAAGAAGAATAAACCTCCAGGTTACTGGTCATCCACATTAAATAAAACATGTGGACGAAACACGAAGACCTACTTGCCAGCTGTCCTGTTCACTACAGTATGTTGATACAGGCAGAGGAGGAGTTGGTACAAAAGCACCAGAAAACAACAACCGACTGAGGTAGACATGAACGGCAGAAGAAGGTTTGCAAAGGGAAAAATAAAGACTTACCAAAGCTTGCTCAATGAGCAGACAGAAGAGGATGGCGTTTCCCACCTCCCTTAAACTCTGGAAGACATCAGTCTTCAGCTCAGCATATTCAATGATATCCTTGAGCTGGTGATGGAAGAACTCCAGGATTCCTGGAATAGCAGAAAAGATAAATAAAGCCACAATACCCTTCTAAGTAAAATGCACATTTCAAATTAATCCAAAACATGACTAACAACGACTCATGAGCTCAGTGTTAATGAAATGCTACCAGATGGAATTGGGTTGATGTCAACAGGTTCAGGTGGCTGCCCTGACCCACATCGGGTGAGGACATCAGGCTCTCACACAGCAGAGGGCAGAAGGATGTCTAACTATTGGTAATAAGATCATAAGCTGTAAGCTCTGAACAGACCTTGAGGTACAGATGACTAAACCCTCATCAAAGGGATAATCCATCTGACCGACATCTGCACAAGCAGCTCTGGACAAAATGCATGAATGGACACGGGTCAGGGAAAGATACATTAGGAAGTAGTAAAGTAAGGCGCATTTTGAGTTTTAAACCAGCACCTTTCTATGAGTCTCTATGATGTGTTGTATTGCAGTCACTCACGACTGACAAGCTTAATTCAGATTGAAAATGTGTTAATTTCCCCTGCTGTCCTCCAATTCAGTCATTTTGTTTTAATATTTCTGAGTAGTATAAGTATATTCTATAATTTCATAGTATTATGTGTGAAATGCTGAAATAGAATGAGTTGAATACTAATGTTAATAATGCAAGTGGTTGAAAAGCCCTAAATGATCCCCTTTGAGCAAAAGACACAAAAGGAAATAAAAAAAAAACAAAGCTGTGAATAAATCTGCATGGTAACCATCAAAATTTGACTAAAGTGTTTTACACATACAACAAAACCATAAGAGTATAATTTAAACTTATTTTACCCAAGCAATAATGGTTTGAATGGTTTTTTTGTTTGTTTTTAAACCAACACTTTTTATATTTTCTATTTCTATTCACACTGAAGCTTCTTGTGAAACTGCATAGAACTGAACTTAAGTAACACATTTTAAGATAAAATTCATTTTATAAAATACAACTGAAGATAAATAAAAACATAAAAAAATATAAAAATAAAGGGTCTTTTATACGACGGAGTAATAGGGCCACGCTAAGAAAATTTTTTTAATTACGAGAAAAAAGTCATAATATTACAAGAATAAAGTAGAAATAATATGAGAATAAAGTCGTAGCATTACGAGAATTAAGTAGAAATAATAGGAGAATAAGGTTGTAGTATTACGAAAGTGAACTCATAATATTACCATAATAAAGTCGTAATTTTATCAGAACTCCGACATGAAAAAGCAGTCTCACAACTGTGGTAAAATGATGAATGTTGAGCATCTTGTTAAGTTATACTTTGGTACTGGTTTTACAAATAAGTTAGTACTTAATATGTTAGCACATCAGCATCAGATTATTATCAGTATCAGGACTTTGAAACGATTGTGCAAACGACTGTTTGTCTTGAAGAAAGAACGACACGGATTTGGAAGATATTGCTATTGTGGAAGAGGAGCTTCCTGGCATTGATCGACTGCAAGGCTGTAGGTGGTTACATCTGTGGGCCATTCAAAAAGGTTTTGGTGTTTCATTAAAACATGTACAAGTTTATTCTTGTATGACTTTATTCTTGTAGTTTTATGACTTTTTTCTCAATGTATTTTTTTTTTCTTAGCGTGGCCCTAATACTCTGTCGTACTTTTCAGTGCTGAGAGAATACTGGTAAGAAAAACAAATTTAACCCTGCTAAAACTAACAAGCCCTGTGATGGACTTGCAACCCATTCAGGGTGTACCCCGCCCCTCGCACAGTGATCGCCAGACATGGGCACCAGCGACCCCCGTGACCCAAAATGGAAAAAGCGGGTAAAGATAATAGATGGATGGATGGAAGTACTTAATAAGTAATAAGTAAAAGGGAGTGGTGGTGCAGAGGTTAGAGAAGGTGGGCCTGTGATCGGAAAGTCGCAGGTTCAACTCCCCGGACTGACAACATCAAATGTGGGTAAATGGACTGTACTTATACAGCGCCTTTCTATCTTATGAAGATACTCAAAGCGCTTTACACTCTGTGTCCTCATGTACCCATTCATACAGCACTCTACTAGATCTCTACAAAGCTAATTGAACAAATCATTCTAAAGAGACAAATCAGAGCTTTATCACATTCATACACTGATGGGACACAAATCGGAGGCAACGAGGGGTTCTGTGTCTTGCCCAGGGACACTTCAGCATGTGACTGCTGGTGGATTCGATCCCCCAGCTCTTGCATTGGAGGACGACTGCTCTAACCACTCAGCCACAGTGGAAAAGGTGAAACACCCACACCTACTTCCACCCTCATTTGGACCCTTGAGCAAGGCCAATAACCCCCACCATATGCTCCCAAACAGGTTTCTTGAAAATGAGTTCTTGTGACTCATTAAGACTATCTGTATAAATAAAAGGTGAATAAAATAAAATACATAGATATACATTTACGTATCAATATTTGCAACGATTGCCAACTTTATTGACCATGTTAACTTTTAAAAATTTGTTCAGATTTGCACGAATTTAGAAATAAAGGTAAAGACCAAATTTTTGCCACATAAAAACTGGTGTCAAAGCTGTAAAAGACATAACGGCTCACCTGGGGAGCCATACTCATGGCGTGGTAAACGGCAGATCTTGGGCATGACTTCTATCAGAGTTTTTACGTACTGCAGTATGGTTCCCTGTAACTAAAGTGACAAAGAAGATGAATAGATCACGGAAGGCCAAAGGAGAAGAGGAGGACTATTACAGGGTGAAAAATCCATCACATTGTGGCACAAAAGCCACGTGCTGTTAAGGCTGTAATAAATGGAGATAAAATACCAGACTCTTGACAATCTTGAGTAACTCCTCCATAACTACAGCGATGCCTTGGTAACCAAGGAGGTGGCAGATGGTCTTGAAGTGAGGCGGGCCGACAAAGTTTCGGTAGGAGCTGTATATGTGGGAGTAGGCGATGTTCAGAGGCTGAAAAGAACAGAGAGAGTGATAAAACAAGGCTATCTGATGCCGTTAGAGGACAGAAAGAGTTAAATGCTTTAAGGAAAGGTGGACTATGAGACAGAATGTAATCACACCTTGGACCCATACAGGTAGTAAGGCTGCACATTGGCTGGCTTATCTCTTTGAGGCTCCTGGGTGAAGGGGATAGCTGTGCGTACAAAGCTGAGGGAGACAAAATCGTTCAAACAGGAAACCAAACCACAATTTTTCTGCATTGAGCGGACCGTCAAACTGACCGGTTTGTGGATCCGTTGTAGCAGTAGTTTGGGAGAAAGTCGAAGTTGAGCTCCCAGAAGACGTGCAGCGTGATTCGGCCATACGGAGCAGAGACGTTGTGGTTGGCCTCCCGGAACATGGCGTCAAAGCTGTCCAGAGTCATGTGCTTGGACAGCAGCCGGTGGGTTAGTCTGTTGATCTCTAACAGCCACTCCAACTCCTGCCCAGACGTTAGGACAAAGAGTTAGAAAGATGTTCAGCAGACACCATCAAGTGTCTCAGGGGATGATCTTACCACTATAGAGGTGAGGTCCTCACTCTCAAAGCGGCTAATGGCGTGGTCCAGAGACTTGTACATCGCTGCAGAGATCCTCTGGGTGATCAGTCGGTTTAGGTCAATTGATCGACCCAACAGCTGACAAATGGTCAAAAAAATACGGTTTTAAAGATTTTAAAAGTAACACCGAAAATTTACGTGTTATCAAAATGTGGGCAAATGTTTTTTGTACCTGTACATGTCTTTGTTTGAGCAGCGTCTCGTAGCGGTTTGATGGAGGATAGGGGATGATGACGCCGTAGTTTTTACACTCAGCCCTAAAGCGTTTGTCTAAGAGGACACTGTGGAACACATCAGATCGAAGTTAGATGAATAAGTTACCAAATACAGCTGCAAACCTCTGTCAGTAGTTTCAAAAATACTATCAGGAAATCAGTTTCTCTACCTTCCAGCCATTGCTTTGTAGTAGGCAAAGATCTGATCAGCCAACTTGTACACAAACTGATCAAAGCAGAGGTTTACCTAAAAGCAATTAAACTACCATGAAAGCATTGCTTTAGAAGTGGTACCTAACATGTTTAAATCCAAAACAGAAATAATTAAAGTAGTGGTTGTTGCACTTTACCTCAGCTTCAATTTCATCATACAGGAACTGCTTCTTGAACTTGGTGAGAGCGTAATAGCCACTGTCATTATACAAGTCTAGTGGATACAGCACATATCTACAGGAGGAAGGGCAGAGGTTATAATCCTGCCTGTGTTTTCAAGGTACAAACCCAGTCTGAGTGGGTCAATTTACTGTTCTCACTCCATCATTGAAGGCTCCTTGGTTTCCAGGATGTGATCGGTGAGGATCCAGGGCATGGACATCTCGATGGGGAACTGAATCCTGCGGCCCATGGTTAGCTCCAGGAAGAACTCCCTGAACCACAACTGGGATAGGTCACAGCACTGCTGCAGGGCCTCTGATCAGCAGGACAACAGCGAAAGAAGAAGTTAAAAGTCTAGCTATTGAACTGAAAACACATCAGATCTACAGCTGCTTTTAAAACAAATCAATATTATGTGTGCACAATTGCTAAATTACAAATTTATGTTGAGATTTTCAGCTCACCACTGAAGTTGAGCAAGTGTGTGAAGAAGAAGGAGTGCTTGTGGAAGTCTTCTATGGCCACCACTATGGGTCCATCAAGACTACTGCGGAGAGTTTTCTTAGACCCACTTTTATCTGCGATCAGTGACTCCAGCATGGTGCGCACCATGTACAGCTGCAGAGGATAAAAAAAAAAACAAGAATTACATGTAAAATATATCATTACTTACAATAAAAGTCTTCATTGTTGGCCTTTCACTCCTAATGGTAAAAAAAGTATACCTTTGAGTTCTGATGTACTGATGCTATGCATCTTCAGGAGCATCTAAACCCTGCTCAACTACTGTATCTTCACAAAAATAATTTTCTCAAAGCTTTTTGCATTCTGTCATGCTCTAAATTATTTGTTGTTGGCAAAACAACAAATAATTTAGATCAATTAGCATCTATCAGCAGCTGATGTTTTTCATTTGACGACTCGGCTGCAGTCAAGAGTCTGCTTACTGGCCGCTTGTGAGAGGTTTTAGTGAATCGGTCTGATTGGCTGAAGCTCCCTCGTTCACTTTGACTGACACATGAATCATCCTTCTTTCGCTCATTATTTATTCTACTTTTTAAATATTTTAATCCCTCCTTGTCTCCCAGAGGCTCCATCATGTCTTACCTGTGTGCTGGAGGGTCCCACAGCTCGACGAGGCACCTTAATGTCAAACCCACCCTTTGGGTCTTTTTCACCCCTCAGACTGGGGTCATTTGGAGGCTCTCTCCCTCCCTCCCAGTCACAGACAGTCTTTCGAATGGCCTGGAGAACACTGCATGAAAGCAAAAAGAAACAAATGTCATACAATAGGTACTACATTAAATAACCATTGGTTAGTCTGAACCATAAATAGAAATCTCATTATTTTGATGCTACGGGTACCTAATGAGGACATTCTTCTTCTTGCGTACAGCCTGGCGCAGAGGCTCTCTGAGGGTCAACTGGGCAAAGTCCTGCAGAGCTGCATAGATCGTGTTCCTTATGGCCTGATTAAACACAGACTCCATTCGGCCCATCAGAACCTACACAGTACAGGAAACATCAGTTTGCTTGTGAGGACTCCCAACTCCATAATCAGAATCCTTACTGGAATACAGATAACTTCTTACATGTGCATTCAGAAGAATACAGACGCAGTTTGATGGAAGTTGATGAGTTTTACCTGCAGGCCTTTAATCATGGCGATGACCTCCACCAGGGCAAATTTCTCCTCGCTGGTGTAGTTGTACCGTGTGGCGCGTTCATACTCCTCTGCCGTACCTGGACAGTCCTTGTTGCAGAATTTATCCGTGGGATGCACCAGCTTCCAAGAGTACTGAGGGTTGAAAACAGATGAAAGCACATTTAGTGTTTTTAATAAAGCCACACCTATTGACCCTTATAGTGTGAATGTTTATGAAGCATTCACACTATTGTGATCCATTTTTCTTCTGTATGTTTTGCAGCATCTTTCTCGTTCCACAACTTTTGTGCTATTTCAACAAATCATATCTCAAAACATTCAACTCTTTCAGGACAATCCTGCTATGACTTTTGGTATTGGTGTAACTTTAGCTTTTTGAAATATTTAGCCTTTTCTGCCATTTTTTTTCTCATAAGAAACAAACTGACCCAATTTTCCATCCAACCTTTTACTGCTCCTTTCACATTTTGTTTTGCTTCAGCTTCTTTCAGCTTCCTTGTGCAAATTTAAAAAAAATTTCAGCTAATTTCAACTGGGTCCCCCCCCGGCTGTTTTGGTATCCTTTTAGATCCTTTCTGCTAACAACAACATTTTTGTGCTTCTTCTAACTTCTTTCTGCTAATTTCAGCTTGTTATCCTCTTTTCAGCTTATTCATGCAAGTTTCAGCTTTATCTGCTATTTCAGCTGTTTTACGCTAATTTTAGCCTTTTCAGCTAATTCACTCATTTCAACTTTTTTTCAGCCTAATTCAGCAAAAATGTGTTTCTCCACTTCCTTCTGGTAATTCAAGCTTGCTTCTCATTATTTAGCTACTTTTCAGCATTTTGCTTATTTCAGCTTTTATCAGATAATTTCCACTATTGTGTTGTAGTGAACTCGGCCTGACACCCCTACAGTGTGCTCATTTCTGCTTCATTCAGCATAATTGAGCAAACGTGTTTTCCTTCTGCTTTATTCTGCTAATGTAAGCTTGATCTACCTTTTCAATCAACTTTTTTAGCTTTTTGTAGCTAATTACAGCTGCTTTCAGATAAATTAAAGTTATTCATGGTAATTTCTGCTACTTTCAGCCTAGTTAACTTCTTTATGCTAATTTTCTGCTCCTTTCAGCTTTTTCTGCTCTTTCAGCTACTATTAAGCTCTTTTGATGCCGTTTTTAGCTTTTTCAGGTAATTCCACATTTTTTTAGCTCATTTCAGCTCTTTCTGCTTCCTTCTGGTAGTTTAAGCTTCTTTCTGCTTTCTCAGTTACCTTTAAACTAATTTTTTGTGCTAATTTCCTATATTTGTGCTCATTTCTACTCATTTAAACCTAACTTTGCAAATGAGTCCTTTCTGCTTTCATCTGTAAAAAATAGGCTTGTTATTCCATTTCAGCTACATTTTAGCATGTTTTTAAGCTAATTTCAGCTGTTTTTCAGCAAATTCTTCTGCAATAAGCATTCATACTGCATTTTTGCAGGAAATGCAATTTCTCTATATGACATAAGATTTACCCCCCTCAACCACACTAGAGTGCAATCAAATCAATGCCTCTGTTTTTACTCACAACTTCCATGACGTGTGTGCTCCACTTGGACAGCAGCTGCAGACCCCTCAGAGCCAGGTCAAAGAGCTCCCTGTACTCCTCGTCAGACTTCTGGCTGTCCAGGCCCGAGCCCGTCACCACTTCGCTGTTGCTGTAGCGCGCCAGCTCAGAGATGAAACGGATGTGGTCCTCCCTGATCTGCATCATCTGCTCACACAGGTTGTACTGTGGTGAGATGCTGCCCTGGGTGCACGTCCACCTGTGCAAAGATGGGGGAAGATGGAGGAAATTTGGGGGCGGGTGAGAACAGGTATGGTTATTTTAAGGTTCTGCATTTGATTTAAAGGCTTCATTTAAGAGACAAAAAGTCTGTAAATGAAGCAGCCATCATTGTACAACCAAAAGTCCAAAAACGTCTAGCAGAAGAGTGCATTAAAAACAGAATACAATGATTTGGAAATTTCACAAACAAATATCTGATTCCCAACGGAACATCACAGTTAACTGATGAAATGTTTAAACTAAGACACTGCACCATTAAAAAGAAAATAAGTAATTTAGAAATTTATGGAAACAACACATGTCAAGAAAGTTGGGACAGTGGGAGCAAAACGCTGTTAAAGGAAGTGATGTGAATGATAAACAGCTGGAAGAGCATTTTTTAAACTAATGAGGTTAATTGTCAGCAGGTCAGTAAGAGGTCTTTGAATAAAAAGAGTATTTTTAAAAGACTGAATCTCTCAGAAATAAAGATTGGAAATGCAGCAGCCTTGTAATCATGAGGCCGTTGGTTCAAGCCCAGAGTGCGTCAGGAAGGGCATTCTGTGTAAACTATTGAAGCAAACCGCTGCCGAACAAACAGCCGAAAGAAGAAATTGGGACGACTTAAGAGTTTCCCATCAATCACAGTTCATGAGGTCATCAAAACATTTGAAGAATCTGGATACATTTCTGTGCACGAAGGACACAAAAGGCAATATTGAGGCTCGTGATCTTTGAGCTCGCAGGTGGTAAATTGTAAATGGACTGTACTTATATAGCACCTTTCTATCTTAGAGATACTCAAAGCTCTTTACAACACAGTCTGTGTCCTCATTTACCCATTCATACAGCACTCTACTAGATCTATACAAAGAATAATCAGCGCTTTATCACATTCATACACCAATGGGACACACATCAGAGGCAACAAGGGGTCCAGTGTCTTGCCCAGGGACACTTCGGCATGTGACTGCTGGTGGATTCGAACCCCCAACTCTTGCGTTGGAGGACGACTGCTCTAACCACTCAGCCACAGTCAGCCCAGGTGGCACTGCATTAAAAACAGGTCTGATTTTGTGATGGGCATCACTGCATGGGCTCAGAGGCACTTCTATAAATCAGTCATACAGTTCATCATGCATGTTGGTTAAAGCTCTGCCGTGCAAAGAAAAAGTCTTATGTGAACACCATCCAGAAACACTGCTGCCTTCTCTCGGCAACCCCCCCATTTGACATAGACTGAGGAAAGAGGTTAACTGTTTTGTTGTTAGATGATTAGAAAAATTGAAATGTATTTTGGAAATCACAGACGCCATATTGTATTTCTACCTGTTTTGTATTTGTAATTACTTATATCCTTAATGTGTGCTTTTTTGTGTCTTTCTCCCAGTAGGGGGTACACCTGTGCCTACACCTGGACCTGCCATTCTGTGTTTGTTTCTCCTTCCTGTCCTCTCAAACCCAGCCTGTCGAAGCAGATGGCTGCTCATCCTGAGTCTGGTTCTGCTGGAGGTTTCTTCCTGTTAAATAAGAGTTTTTCCTTTCCACTGTTGCCATTGTGCTTGCTCAGGATGGGAGACTGTGACAAAGTGAAGATTCACCACGTCTGCTAGTTTCCTTTGACAAATAACTTTCCTAATTGGCTTTTTAAATATGTGCAAATGTTTCTGTTCAGTGCCCTGAGACAACTTCTGTTGTGATTTGGTGCTATATAAATAAACTGAAGTGAAGTGAATATATCCTCCATACTAAAGAGGAGTGGGACTATGCTTGTTATTAGAGCACAGTTCAAATGTCTGCCTCTTTGATGGTATGGGAGTCCATTAGTGCCTATAGCATGAGCAGCTTACACTTCTGGAAATCACCACTGATGCAGAAAAGTATGTGCAGATTTTAGAACAATGAGCATTCCTTTCTAAACCCTCGAGCAGCTGGACTCCTCCGTTCCAAGACGTTTACAGACTGCTGTTAAAAGAAGAGGGGATGATTCAGTGGTAAACATGACCCCGCCCCCAATCTTTTTGACATGTGTTGTTGCCATCCGAGTCAATTTTGTTCTTTTTTTAATAAAATGATAGTTTCTTAGTTTAAACATTCAATATGTTTACTGTGTAAATAATATAGATGTGCAATTTTCAAACCGTTGCATTCTTTTTGTATTTACATTTTACACACTGTCCCAACTTTCTGGGAATTGTGGCTGTACAAAAATTATTTTACCTGGACTTGTTTTCTTCATAGTGAGCACTTGTTTCAATGTAACGTGACAACTCTATCTGCATGTCTCCAAACAGAGGCACAACTTGAAGCTGAAAAATTTAAAATAGAAGACAAATAAACACCTGGTCACCTGTAGGACCAAAGGTATGCAAAAGCAGCAAAAAAGAAAACTAAAAAACACTTACTTTGAAGAACTTGTCAATCTTGCTCAGGTTGATTCTCTTCTTGGCATCTAGTTTGTAGATATTACTTACATTCCCGTCCATCAGGTACAAACCAAAGCCCATGACCTGCCAGACATTAGAAGTGTTTGTAGTACAAACAAAAAAATACAAGTTTGAGAACTGATTTAATGTTTTTATACACTGGCAGAAAAAAAAAGTCAACGTGTATTTACCTTAAGCAGCATGTGTTTTTCACTGGGTGTCAAATACATTTTGTTTTCATAATAGTCTACGCAGATGTTGACGATGTCTGCCAAGAGCTCCTCATAACCTGGAATCACCTCCAGCTGTTGGTGCAGGCACTGCACAGGCAGACAGAGGATATTAAGATAGATGAGTAAAAACACTAGCTAAAAGCTACCATTTTCAGGACAGTAGCTAAAAACTAAAATCTGCAGAATAGTAGCTAAAATTAGAAAAGATCAGCTGAAGCAAGTGATTTCAAGTGAATGTCAAAGAACACCAAGATTTTTAATGAATTGAAGACAGTTCAATGCATTTCTACAAGGGATGTACAATATTGGATTTTTGGCCGATATCTGATTTGCTGATATGTTAAAACTTATTTGGCCAATAACCAATACAAATACAGATATATTTTTATTTCCTAGACCTACTTATAGACTACATAGTTTTCTACATGGTCTTTGTAAATTGGTACTGCTATCAAATGCAGATGGCAAAAAGGGGGCTGAAAATGATGTAACACTTCAACTTGCATTATGTTTATTGTCAAATTTATTAATGAAATTTACTCTTAACACAATGACAACACGCGAACAGTGCCAATTTGCAAATTTTCACAAATCTAAACTCAACGGCGCGCGTGATGTCATAACGTTGTGCTGGCACTGCAGGTATCTTTGTCACTGGGTTGTCATACAAAAACTGCGCCTTTTATTTATAGTTATATACATATATACATACATATACATACATATATACACATATATATATATATATATATATATATACATATATACATACACACACAGTATATATGTATATATAAACAGCACCTTTTATGGAATGACTGATGTCCAATATTTAACTTTATCGCTAATATCAGCTGATACCGATATCATGCCGATAATATCGTGCACCCCTAATTTCTACAAAAGAAAAATTGTAAAATAATAAAATAAAATTGCGCAATTCAAAAAGTAAAGTTAAATACCAAACTTCATAGCTGTAATATCCTAAATAAGCTGAATGTTTTGATACTTGAATGGCTGAAAGAGATGAAAGCATGAGTGTAACAAACGTACAAAGGACATTTTAAACAAGAAAACATTCCCGTATATGCCGACTCAACAAAAGTGGTTCATTCCTCAGAGTCATTTTCTCACATTTTAACATCACCTTCTGCTGAAAATGAAGAAACTACCTGAGTGATCCTGTTGTGGTTGGCTAAGAACATGGAGAGGTTCTGGGACTCCTGGATGGACTGAGGGTCGGCCATCTTCCTCAAGAACTGAGCGGCCCTAAAAACCATGAGGAGAGGAATGAAGCATTCGCTTGATCAAAATACAAAAAAAAAAAAACGTGTATTTCCTTTTTGAGGCTTGTGTACCGTTTATAAGCAGAGTGATCGTTCTTCACGCTACACTTCATGTTCTTCAGCTCATCCAGCACTGCAAACATGTTGATGAACTTGCCCAAAGTGAGCAGATAGGCCTCCGACACGAAGTCTTTCCTCCTCTCTGCGTGGCACAGACGCTTCACTTCGCTGCAGAAGCGCTCGATCGCTTTCCGCTGAAAACACAAGAAATATTCAACCGATTGTTGCTTGTAAAAACAAAAAGAGCTCAAGGGTGAAAATATGTTTGGAAGTGTGTGTGTTTGATGAGTGCCAGGTTAGCAAAATGTCTCATGAACCAGTGGTTGGATTTTAATGAAACTCTCAGAACGTGCTTATTGGCTGAACAACTGATTAACTTCTGGAATCAGCCACAGAAGGAAGGCTCCCACAACTAAACCACTATAGCAAACACAAAAATGGTGATAAGTCAGTTTTATAGATAAAGTAGTCCCTCGCTACTTCGCGGTTTGATTTTTGCGGACTCGCCCTATCGCTGTTTTTCAAAGTAAGATAAGACATGACACACACGGCTGATTGATGGATGAGCCGCACGATCGGCATGAATTTTTATTTTAAATGAATTATTTTACATTACTTAGCACTCGTGTGCAGCCCACAGCTGTGGGAGAAACTTCCTCCTGCAGCTGATCAGCTGTGCAAAGCGGAGAAGTGGGCGTGGCTGAGAGTGCAGCAGGGAGCTGAAATCATGACATTCTGTGCTCTTTTAGCACATTCAGAGTTTAGAAACATTGTTTAGAATATTGCAAGAGTGTGGGAGGGTTTAAATCGCCTTTATGTATGTAAATACTAACATAAACTACTACGTACTACTTGTACTATCCCTACTTTGCAGTTTTTCACTTATCGCGGGGCTTCAGGGTACGGATCCCCCGCGATAAACAAGGGACTATTGTATTGAGCTATAATTTGGTGTGGTAGTAGCTGAGTCACCTGCAAGGTATATTCTGAGTGGTAAATGTTTGCATGATATTTGTTATTAAAACTTTGTCATTAACTATTGGAGTCAATTGTGTCAGTCTGTTAGAAAAATATCTTGTAAAACAATGAATGGATTGCAAAGTAGTAAACAACACTAGCGCACGCAAAAATGGCTATAAGTCAGTCAGAATTACAGATACTGAGCCATAATTTGATGTGGTAGTAGCTGAGAGTCATTGACTACACACACTCTGAGTGTTAACCCATCTCGCACAATTTCACAATATTGCACAAGTTTGTGCATGATACCTTGACTAAATGGCCACAACCGTCACATCTCATCATAAAATAAGCTTACCGGTAGTTTACAACCCTGGCATGACAGGTAGATGGTGACATGCATTCCTTCAAGGAATGTTCAACCTTTCATTTACAACGTATTTAATTTAAACAAAAAAAAACAACTAAAGGTTTCCAGCGATTTAGCTTGGGTTGGTGTACTGGATGTGAAAACACTGCTTGTATGTTTTTTAATGAATGAAACGGAAATGAACAGATTGGGTTAATCAAAGCGATGCATAAAATTAAATGCATACAAGTAAATCCACAAATAGTTTAGCATGATACAGATATTTAACTTGGGATGTACGTTAGACTTTGAATTTTCTCTCGTGTTTCCTGAACTTTTATGGTTCAGCCGGTTCAGCCGAAGTGATCAATCAGACTTGCCTGGAAGTACATGAACTTCATGAGCTTGGTCACCTCGGGCTCCAACACCTCCACAGTCTTCTCGTAGATCTCCACTCTGTTGGGCTGCTCATTGCATTTCACCTAACAAACACAGGATGGCATTGTCACACACACAGTCTCTATGTATGTACGAGAGCTTTGTGACAAACAGACATTTTCAAATCACAAAGTTTGTGTCTTTAATCAAAACTTATGGGGAAATCACTAACATTCCTATCATTCAACAAGAACATTGTGTCAAGTTGTGAGCTCGTTATTGTTCACAGCAGGACTTTTCAAAGAGTGGGGCGCCTCTCCCCGAGGGGGCGCCAGAGTTCTTCAGGGGTGGAGCGACATAACGAGGAGGGAAAATATAAAATAAAATAAAGTAAGCCAGAAAAAGTAAGGCTACGCTCACTCCTCGGGTCTTATGTTAGGTTCCAATTTATTTTTTGTTCAGATCAGATTTTTTATGTTATTTATTTATTTATTTTTTGGGGTTTATTCCACTGTTAAAACGTGACCTCCATCAGACTAGTGTGAACCGTTAACAGTTATGGAGCGACCCACATGAGCAGAAGATGTGACGTCACACGCAGCACGCTGCGTTTGAGGAAGTAAATGTTTGAGACGCTACATATTCTCAAAGTCAGTGTGACGTCATCCGTCACATGATGTCAAACTGACATTTTTGGTTGTGGGAAAACACCACTGTGCTGTGGAAAAAATGATAGACACGTGAAATACACAATTTCATTTTGATCTAATTTATTCCTTCAAGTGTATGCAACAATGTTATAAGAATATGGAGGCCAATATAAACTCCCAGGGGATACGTGACTAAATGAACCGACGGTGTCACTCGAGGTGAACTACAAAAGACGAGTACACCTATACCAGAGTCCACGTAAGACTTATTTTCTAATAATGTACAGTTGTAAAGCTTTTCATTAAATGTCCATATTCAATATATTCAGTGTCCAGCTGTTTAGAAGATAACTGACCATCACTTCACACTAATCTGAACAGTCAAGCCGTCTAACTTATGAAATAGCACGTATTAAATAATTTCTGATAAACATAAAATAACATGTAAAATATGTATTAACAATGCATACATGGCTTTCAAGAATCTAAGAACAGAGAAAAGGTCTAGTACAACTATATAAAATGCTCTGTCCACCTGCCCTCACCTTTGTTTTCAGAATGATTTATTTTTAACAGTTCGTTTTGTACATTTCAGGTTTATATTCACTCGAGGCAATGGAGAAGTACAGATCTATACATAATCATTACATATATACGTTAAGTAACAAAAAATACTGGTGATTAAACAGTGCCCAACAGACGTATAGTATGTGTGCTATGTGGTGACTAAAGTGTGTCCACAGCAGCTTTACATTTTTCCCTTCTTGGTCTTGCAGACAGGAACATTAAATATTTTCTAATTGGATGTTTCTTCTTGTTAGACGTGCAGTCAAGTTGTCTAACAAGCAACGCGTCACTATTTCGTCGACTTTCCCTCAAACCAATATGTCCGCCTCCTTGTACAATATGGTCACGTGACCACGTACCCGGATGTCCGACTTCGAGAATGTTAGCATGTGTGATTCTGAAGTTGTTGTGGAAACAGAACTGATTCAATTATTATCTCACAGACTTGTTCGGGCCCGTGTTTTTAATTTGGCCTCTGCGCTCCAGTGCAGTGTTATATATTTGGAACGACAGAGACTGAAGGTAAAAAGTACAATCCCATCACGTTAGTATCGATACGGTCCGACACCAACGTTAGTATCATCTGCTGTATTCTCAGTCATCCTGGACATGGGAAATGAAACGAACAAAGACGAAGCAAACGAACTGCTCTGTAGCAGAAGACATGAGGAGTTCTGTGCTTTAAACTGCATGCGGCTGGTATCATTAATAATAATAATTAAATAATTAATTGATCATTGAATCGATCCACTCACCCCTACCTCACGAATGTAAAAGTTGGATTAAATGCGACATGACAGTTCAGACTGCAGTCATTTGACAAGCATCAGATATGTATCTGAACCAGTATGATGTAGGCCTGGGTCTGATTTGAAAAAAGTTTAATTTGTCATGTTTAGTCTGCCATGAAAAATATCCTATATGGGTCGCATAGGGGCAATAAAAAATTGATTTGAGCTGCATTTGCCTGCAGTGTGAATGTATTTAAAAGAAAATAAGTAAAAAGGTTGTGGTTTTGTAACATGTTAAAAAGGAAAATGTGTTAAATGTATTTTAAAAAAAAAACAAAGATGTTTAAACTGTGTAAAAGAAAAATGTGTACAACCATTTTTAAGCATGAACTTGAGTATTGCAACGACAAAAGTTAGAGCAATAATGTAGATGTGTGTGGGGGCAGTTGTTAAATGTATTCTCTGGTGGGGGGAGGGGGTGTAACTCTCCCACTCTTTAAAAACCCCTGGTTTACAGCAGCCAACTCAAGGCAGTGATGCACCTGAGGAATAGCTCTGGAGCAGCTCCTCCACGTGTAGAGCATCACAGCATACTCGTGTCCTTCCTCCAGCATCTCATTCTGCAAACATACACAAACATTCCTTATCAAAAGTCGTGGCAACATAATGTAGATGGAAGGATCTGCACCCCCCCCACACAGGAACACTGGATAAGAGGAGTCATGCATCATGTCCATATGGAAAAGATCAGATATACTTCGAAAGGTTCTGTTAAGAGGTTCCGCGACACCTGGCAGCCATGTGCATCGTATGTTCAAAATATGTCACTACCTGTTTAACATGTTCATGTCTGTGCAGCTGATCCAGTGTGGGAGGGGATTTTGTCATTTTGTTAACTTTTCTTATACGTGTGTATAGTCTAAAAAAGAAAAATGTCAATAAAAAGACTTTGATTAAATAAAAAATAAAGTTGTGGCAACGTTTCCGTTGATGAAAACCAAGTGTTGCCTTAAAGAAACAGTTTTGCTCTTTTCAACTGGAGATCAGTGGAAAGATGATGAATAATGAATGTCTTACCTGTTTTAGATAGCTCTTTGAACAACCTCAGATTGGAGAAAGAGCTTAATGCTGGCTAGAAATGCTGCAGTTAGTTGGAAATTCATAATAGATAAAATCAACTATAATAATTTGTTTGACAACATTTTTTGTCAATATGTGACTTTGTAAACTTATTTTCTGGTTTCTTAAAAGTGTTCAGCTGAAAGAACAACTGTTAACCTCCACACTGTAGCTACAGTTTCAGTTTATCACGGCGGGCGGAGAACACGTCTGCTTCACTGTCAAACCAGCCAGTTTTTAAAAGGTTTTGATGGCTGACAGAGACTGAAGTACTTTAAGTAGCGGGCTATAAAAGACCAGTTTGCATGCTCTGTAACGTTTTCTTGGTTTACCACAGCAGCACAAGACGCACACAGGGGCTGCCAGGAACCAGCTGGGAAACTAAAACATCACTCTATTGAAGCTGCTACTGTAAATGAACTCCATTAAGTTTGATATGTCGTCTCTCTGCTTTACTTTCCAGTGAATAAATGTTTGAGAAAACTTTTAGATTAGTATCTGGACTCCTGTTTGAATAATGTTGTGCCACGATTCGTTTTTCCGTCGGGCTCTGAATCCCCAGACCAGCTATGTTTTCTTCTTAACCTCTGTTGTTTTAAGCATTGGCATATAAGTGAAATGCAAAAAGAAAACGCATGCGTTTCTTTTTGTTTCTTTTATACTCACTGCAGCAGGAAGAACACATCCTGATGTCAGAAATCTAGTATACTTAGACAGGTGAGGCAACTAATCTAAACAAGGGAACAGATTCAGTCACAACACCTGTGTGTCCAAACATGCAGGGACGATTCGACTTCCACCTGTTGGACATCTCTGTGCTCAGAATATGTTTTTATCTAAAGTTATGGCATTTAAATCAAATAAGTTCATGGAGTTAATAAAAACATTTCCTATACATGTGGGCTGATTTAAAGGATCATTTTGTAGTTAGTCTCCATAACTCCATTTTAAATGGTTGCCATTTCTTTTTCAGCTCTTTCTGACAGGCAAAGCCATGTGACTAAACTCCTGCAAAAAAATAAAAATAATGATTAAAAAAATATACAATAGTAAATAGAATTTATTTTCAGAGTTTGCTGCAGTTCTTACCAACACTATTCCTGTAAGTGTTGTGATCCGTCTTTGGTGTTACTGTGCAGTATTTCTGTGATTCTGGTATTTTGTTTAACTTGTGTTTCCAGCTTCCCCAGTGTTTTCCCCCATATCCACACTGAACACAATTATAAACGCAACACTTTTGTTTTTGCTCTCATTGTTCATTATCTGAACTCAAAGATCCAAGACTTTTTATATGTACACAAAAGCTCTTTTCCTCTCAAATACAGTTCACAAATTTGTATAAATGTGTTGGTGAGCACTTCCCCTTTACTGCGATAATCCATCCACCTCACAGGTCAGATGGTAATTAGACAGCGTGATTATTGCACAGGTTTGTTTAGGCTGGCCACAATAAAAGGCCACTCTAAAATGTGCAGTTTACTTTAATTGTATTGCAACAGGCTGAGCGTTATCATGCAGCAACCTGAGGTGATGGTCGTGGATGAATGGCACAAGAACGGGCCTCAGGATCTCATCACGGTGTCTCTGTGCATTCAAAATGCCATCCAGAAATTCACCTGTGTTCATCGTCCATAACATACACCTGCCTTTTTGTTATCTCGCTAATAAATGAGTCGACTTATTTTTATTCTCGAGTCATCTTGAGTTTTTGGTTCTGTACTTTGGGTTCACCATTTTCAACCAAACATGAAAGCAAGTCAAATATTCAGCCTTTTTTATTTTAAAATGCATAAACAATATGCACTTCATTTTATTTATTTTGTCATGGTGAAGTTGGCACTCTAAGCTAACTTAAAAGTTTTACCTCAATTTGCAAGAGTTAGTATAAATTATATTTTGTGAGACACATTAAATGTCAAAGTTGAGTGTAAAAACATTGAAAGCAAATTGTTGTTGAACCCAGTTAGGATGTAATTAATTTTCTCCACATTGAAGTTTCTCAGAGCGATCTGCAATAAGTCAGGTATTAATTATTCACCATCTTTCCACAGAACCTAACTTCAAAAGATACAAACTATCTCTTTAAGACTCTCTTGTATGCTTCTGTGTGTACCACCACTTGTTTGTAAAGCCACCCTGCAGCACAGACACATGAGTCAGTCACTTGTTCCCAGTGATGAATATTGTAGCAGAGGTAGACTACTTCCTGTTAGACACAGGTGGGCGTGTCCAAATAGACCGGCTTTAACCTCAACTCAACTTCCTGTAAAATAAAAATTATATAAAGCCCCACACCTCTTTACTAGTCACATCATACCCCTTCGTTCACCAGGAACAGATAGAGCTTTAGTGGTCTGCTGCCTGCCTGTGTGTGTGTGTGTGTGTGTGTGTGTGTGTGTGTGTGTGTGTGTGT